CGGCCCCCCGCGCGCGCTCCGGCCTGGAGCCAAGCGCTGCACGGCGGTGAAAGGCCTGTGGTCGCTGCAGGCGTCCGCGGCAAACTGTCCCCTCCAACTCCCCTCCTCCTCAAGCTCTACTTGGCCGCCTGGAGACCCGGAGACTCGTTCTAATAAATTGCATTTTTGAGTTCAGCCTTTCTGCCAATGGCCTTTTGAGACTGTCCCTCGGCGGGTGCGGTGAAGTTGGCGATCTAGATTGCCCCATCTCTCCCTAGGCTTGCAAATTCTCCCTCTCCCCTCTTTCGGCTCCCTTTTCCAAAGGAATAAGCTTGAGAAGGCGAAGCAATAGCGAGGAACTACGGGGCGCCTACCCTTCTAGGATGCAGATGAGCGTAATTAGCAAATCCTTTATGAAGCTGAGGTCCTTCCCTAGCTTTGCTCTCACCTGCGTCCAAGTGGTTATTGGGCCTTAAGGACTAATCGTTCCTGAATCTGCATTTCAGAAGCATTTGTAAGTATGGGCAGGTGGGTGGAGGACAAGGCTGGAAAGCAGATTGAAATGAACCACTTTAAGCATCTGGAAGGCTGTTTATTCTTCCTCTGAAGCAGGTTATAAAATCCAGTCTTTATTTGGATTCTCGGGGCACCCTCCCTCTGAACCTGTGGCTGAGATAGTGTACCACATTGTATTTTGTTACCTCGCCCCTTTGGCCCCATCACCGAGGATTGATTGAACTCAGGCCTTCGAATAGGCTAGGCTAGGCAGTTACCACACTCCTGAACGACACTCAAAACCGGTTTTAAGTTAAAATTTAAAATCTTACTTGTATGTCTGTGTGGTCCTACCATTGTGCCTGTGGCGCTTAGGTCCTCAGCCTAGGTGACAAGCGCCTTTATACTTGGAGCCTTCTCACCCAGCCCTTAGATTTACGATAGAGCCTTATTAAGTTACTAGGCGTTCTTGTGTCCAGCCGGGGTTATGGGCGCACCCCATCCCCAGTTAGATTCTTTTTCTCCGCTGAGGATCGAACTTCATGCGGGTGTGAATGCTACCTAGACTGTACTCCTGAGCTACGAGCCTCCCGGGCTCCTTGATTAATGTACTCCAGTATTTGCCGCTCCTCTTTTCTAATGCAGTCTTTCAGAATACAGTTTGGGAGGGGACAACCTGACTGTGTGTAGGGTTGGACTTCTAGATGGGGCTGTAGAAGCTGAGACAAGGCTAGCGTAATGTTCAGCCCATTTCATAGCATCCTCTGGACTTCTGGAATGAAGGACTGGTGGCCCTTTTCTGTTTTAGATGGGCAGTAGCGGAAGCCACCTTTATTGGTGGCTTTAGGCTGACTGGCTTCACTCAAAGGCCACGCACTTGATTTCAAAGTCATGATGGCCTTCATACTGAGGTAGGTGGCGAAATCTGGCAGCTTTCTGGTCAGGGCAGCCTGATTGAGGAGATGCATCCCTTGATGGTGCTCCTCCCGGGGTGGAGAAGGAAGGCAGCTTCCTGGTGCTCTGTCTCCTAGGCTCTGCTGTCCTGGCTGCTGCACATGGGGACAAAGACTTATGATTGCTCATCAGCCTTAAGTCTGAACTGTGTCATCATTGTATTAGCATAGCCTGGATGCTGGAACTAGCTATGGAGATCACTCCAGCCTCAGACATAGATCCATCTACCTCTACCTCCTGAGTGCTGAGTTTAAAGAAGGCCTGTGCCTCCCTCCACACCTGACCCCATTTCCACTTTTTTAAAAAAGAGCTTGAAGAGCCAGCTGGGTGGTGGTGCTGGCGGTGCACACCTTTAATCCCAACACTTGAGAGGCAGAGGCAGCTGGATCTCTGAGTTCAAGGTCAGCCTCGTCCACAAGAACTAGTTCCAGGACAGGATCCAGAGCTATAGAGAAACTCTGTGTCGAAAAACATGCAAACAAACTAACTAAAAAAGAACTTTAAAAGAGGAGATATCTTTCTCTACTATCATTTTACTTGGCTCTCTTTTCTTCTCACTTTAAAAAAAAGGGTTATTTTATTATATGTATGAATATTACATCTGTATGTGACCCATTTTCATGTCTCGTCCCTACATCGGTCAAAAGAGGGCATCAGGTGCCCCGAAACTAGAATTAAGATCGTTGAGACATGGTATGGATACCGGAAACCGGATGCAGGTCCTCTTGAGCATCCAGTGCTCTTAACCACTGAACCACCTCTCCATCCCCTATCATTTTTTTTAGTTTTTATTTTAATTTTAAGACAGTGTCTCACTATGTAGACTAGACTGTCTTGGAACTCAGATCCACCTACTTCTGCCTGTTTAAGAGTGGGATTAAGGTGTGTTCCACATTCTGTCCTGTTTTCAGTTTTTAAAATACCAGTTAATTTTTCTCTGTTTTGAAGTTTTATTTCTATAGTTCCATCCCCACCTCCACCCCCTCGAGACAGGGTTTCTCTGTGTAGCCCTGGCTGTCCTGAAACTCACTCTGTAGACCAGGCTGCCCTTGAAGTGCAGGGATTAAAGGCGTGCACCTGCCTTCATTCCTTCACCCTTTTCTCACATGATAAAAGTGACTTAAATGTTTTGGAGAATCATCCGCCCCACCCCCCTTTTAATCTCTCCCATTAACTAATTAAAAAACCAGGCAAAGAAGTGATAAAAGGCTGCAATTTGTTTTGAAAGTGGCTTGTTCCTAGTGGCGTGTGTGACGTGACGTCACATGCTCTGTAGAAGTCTCTTTGAGAGTCTTAGGGACCACTCTGTTTTCCTGCCACCCACCTGCTGCTTGCTTCTAACCTCCCAGAGAAACCAAGAACCCTTCTGAATATACAGTTTATAGTTGAAGTCTGAAGTTGACGATGAAACGACGCCCAGGAAGTCAGTAGCAATTTCGATGGGAAAGTAGCTCGGGCCATCTGCTACGGCCTGGATTTATTTGGGCAGGTTCTTGCCTTCATGGCTTGCCTCCTGTAGTCACAGTCTGGCTGGCAGAATGCTGCCCTGCAGGAAAGGGCCTATCTGACCTCAGTGCTCTGGAGAAGGAAGTCTTCTCGCTGGCCTGCAGGATCCATCTTCTTCCTCTGCACGTACCACGTTGATTGTATCAGCCGTTAGTGGAGTTCTGAAGGCCTGTAGCTATCCGCTTCATCTACTGGCCGCATATCTACTGGGTAGTGTGCTTGAGCGTAATCATATTGCTTACGAAAATGATGTACCTTTAGCTTTCTTTTCCCTAAAAAGTTGTCTGTGTCTGTCTGTCTATCAATCTGTCTATCGAGATGAGGCTGTGTATGTTAAAGGCTTGGCCTTTAACTTTCCCAGGTAGCCTAGGCCGAACCTGAACTCTTGAACTACCCAGCTACCAGGTCCAGGATTATAGGCACGTGCCAGTTGGAGCAGCTCAATGGTGTGTACCTCTTACTCTACCTTCTTCTGATAGTATGTGTTTCACCCCTGAAATTGGGGTCTGGCAAACTGCAATGCAGCAAAAAAGGGTTCATATCTTCTGTACTAAAGGTCTAAGTCCAGTCCTAAGATTGTGTGTGTGCTGTACCAGAAGTTTACACAGGCTGCTGCAGTTTGGTGAGTTTTGGATTGTGGTTAAGAGTGAGGTTTACAAAGGACTTGAGATTATCTTCGCGATAGTTGCTTTTCCCTTGGCCTTCCCTGAACTGCCTGGGGCTGTGCAGGCCGAGGCTTATCAAATACCTTCTTTGAGGACCCGCCTCCAGGTCTTTAGCTTGTATTTTCTTAGCACACACAGTGAAGAAATAGAAAAGGCTTGCCTTAAGATGCAAGGACCTGAGCCCTGCATTCTCTCACAGGGAGTGTTAGCTCCCCCCTCTTCCACTCATACCACCCACGCGTGTATGTGTATAAACACTTAGGCATACTTGCACATACAAAGCTGGTACACTATAGAATGAATCCCATTAAAACATTCTATTTGCGGTGGGAATGTCGTTCAGTTGGTAGGGTACTTGCCCAGCACTGACAAAGTACTGGTGGCTTTGAGTCCTAACGCCGTGCGTGCCTGGTGTGCACATCTGTAATATATATAGAAGGTTGAAGTACATAGGTCCAGATTAACCTGGGCTCAGGCCCCATGGGGAAAATGTGTCTCAGAAGGAACAACAAAAAAAACCCTCCAGAACGCTGATATTTTGTGATAGCTTTCTTTGCTAGGTTTTATCTGAAGGATATAAAGATCCTGTTTTAAGGCTCAGATAGTGGTGTTAAAAAAAAAACAAAAAACAGGCCCCTTGTAATATTGGAGTCTAGTATCTCAAGGGTAAAAGAATTGGAGACGGTCCATTTGGAAGCATCTTGGACTTGACTAAAGAAAAGATGTTCAAGAAGGAACCTGTTTCTGTTCTTAATTAATATTAACTGCAGCTCTTGCCAGGGTCTTACAGATGGACTAGCTTTTCAAATGAGGCTCTGAGCTGATCCTCCGTGAAAAGATGACCTCGTTCAAAGGGCTCAGGCTTTTGGGTACTCATTAAGTATAAATGTGCAACTTACATAAGAGTGAAATTTTCTGAGACTTGAGGGTAGATGGGTT